ACACTGCGGCCAAAGGATCGAATAGCAGAGCGGAAAGGCTTGAAGCTTCCCAATGGGGACTCCTAGGAGTGGTATAAGCTAACATCAGACCCCCAACTACATATATGTACCTACCCACCCCCATTGCCATCTTGCCGCGCTTCTACCTACTCCCTTTTGACGATAGCCCTACATATGTTGCTAAGGAACCATTCTCCAATGCAGAATAATTATACCCCAGATGAGGCTGAAGATTCCAAGAAAAAAAAATCAAAGATTTACTATTGGCCGGAAAGCTCTCCGCGGTGGACAACAGCATAAAATTAATTAATAAATCTCCTTGCATCGCCCAACCTGCATACGTGTATGCATATATATTATATATACCTAGGTACATAGTATGTATGGTACCTACATACATACATGTGAGAGCGTACATACATAGGTACCTCAGTATATGTATATATTTACATACCTTACATTATGTAGGTATGTAGGTACCTAATGTATATACATTACACATAACTTACATGTACATATGTAAGTTTACAACTTATTAATTAAGCAAGCTCGTTTACTAACGGGCTCTTGCGTTCTGATCACCTTATAGTGGGAACACTGGAGAAACAAGGGAGACATTTAGGAAGCAACAGGGAAGTCCCCGGGGCAGCACTGACTCCCGCTGTGCTAGGTCGGGTAAGACCCTGGGAAGGCTCTCCGCTCCACTCAGGCACAATGTCTTAAAACTTAAACCCAAAAAAAAATCTCCGGTCTCCGGGGAGAGAGGCCGGAAAAACCTGGACTAGGACAGGGTCCAAACATTTTGACCCTTGACGTCAAACTTTGAAATTTCCCACACCAACCAACTTTCATCATAATATCAACTATCAAGAAATCTAGAAGTTCAGAAATTTACAGAAATTTATGCTAGATAATCTGTCGCGCAACGAATACTCTGCAAATACTTTGCAAATACTCGCTCACTCGCATCACGTCTGCCTATACATCTGCCTATCATATGCGCGTTAAGCCTAATCGTTATGTCTAATAGAATGCATGCAATCCTTCCTTTCATCTATCCGTGTCATGATCTACCTCTAGGCTCCTTTTTGTTTCGTCTGTCTCCCAAGCTAACCCACCATTCATACTCGGAATAGTATGTCTCTTTTTCGATGGCGACCACTTATTACAGATATTAACACGCATCTAGAAAACCTCGCTCTTAGTCGCCGTGAACCTGCACACTCGCACTCATATACAGATGCACGGCTTACCGTAGCCGGCTCGTGTGTTTGTACTTGGGTTGCCGAGCCTAGACTAAAAACAATCTATTGACATACGCACGTATGTATATTCTCGTAGTCATGGCCGATCATTCGCCATATCGAGCATTACCTTGGCGGATGCTTTACGACGAATACGGGTTATCGGCTTCCGTGTATGGGATTGCTCTTCGATCCCGTGGCACTTGTGGCGTCTATCGACACTCGCTGGCGCGCTCATCTCGGCGGCTAAACACGGGCATCTTGAGATTCATCTGGGTCACTACTCCGTATATGTCCTGGTTAAGGGAGAAAAGTTGTCGTATGTTCGGGTTATAAGCCCACGAAAGTTCCACCCGGTTTCCTGCGTATAGCGATGCTGGAACATATTCAATTTACGACTATCTTAAGCCGATTCGACTCCGGGTACAATCAGGTCCTCGGCTTAGATAATTCTCAAATGTATCATGCATGTCTTGTGTCGCGATGGACGACATACTCGAACTCTACCCTATTCCTAAGGAACCTTCGTATCGGAGTACACCACATGGACAACAGTCGCGGGTTCAGGATGGCGTGTCTTTCGTCAAGCAACATACGTAATTTGCAAGGCAAAGCAACTTTGAGCGGGTTTTGGAAAACTGTCCCAGATGCGGATTGATGTTTACTAATACCACAATGTCTTGTATTTGGTACTCGCATATGCTCTGCATGTGTTGGCTTCAGATCATTTCCAACTCCAGAACTGTTCTTTCTCTTACCGTCGAACTTGGACGAAGGCTGGTTAGTACTATTAACCTATTCTTACTAGCTTAGTGTCGGGGTTGGTTCCATGTCCACGATGGACTTACAGGACCACGGCCTGGGGTTGACACCTTCATACACATGTCATTATCTCGAATTGGAGACTGTTAGCGACACTGGGATAAGCTTAGCTGTGATTGGCAACTGGGACCATGCTGATCTACTTTTTTTTATGGCGTTGATATAAACTGGTCAACCCGGGTTGTTGGTTCTGTTGCATCTCCAATCCCTACCAGGGGATTAGGTACACTCGCTACTCGAGAGCCAGCCAGCCTTACTCGCTGATATTCTATTACTGCCCCATTAGCGGCATGCAATGTGACACTCGATGGCCCGCGTCGTATGATACTGCAACTCAGGAGACCAGTATTGATTTTCAAACCAAGCTTTCAGTTCAGCAAGGAGTCTGCCGGGGAATATTGAACAGGAAACAGCCAGTGATATTGTTAGATTCCGCGCCTTTATTATTCTGGGCCTGGGCGGGAGAATGATACAATCAGTACCTTCGCTTACACGCCAATACCTTGATACCCCATCTTGGAGATGTGGGAATCTGAAAAAACACTAGAGAAGTTTGCTATTCGGTTTCATCGAATTGCAAGGAAGGTACATCTTGAAGCACTACTGTTTACCTAGGTAGATCGCGTTGGCCATTTACTAAAAAATTCGGTCAAGATACCAGACCCTTCTAACCCCTGATTTTCGCATTTCACCACTCAGAATCAGAGTTCGAAACATACTACGGTGGGACGACATTCGCAAACGGCCAGCTATTTGCATAGAATATAGAGGGAGGCTACGAAAGCCACTATAAGGTTTCGGTGTCCTATGTTCTGAAGATGTTGTGAAACGACGGGATCAAGGAAAACCGCATGAGAATCTTATCACAAGTCAATCTTATCACAAGTCTTTCGGATTCTAGGCAGCTACCTACAGCAATTCGCGCCGAGAAGTCCCTACAGATGTGATGTTGCATGGAGGTATTACCACTATTACCACAGCTCGTATGGCGACCGCGTCTACTCCGTTGCCTGTACAACATCTTGGCTCAGTTCTCATTTGCGGATCAGCATTACGGCCCATAACTTCCGAATCTCCAGGTAAGTTACAGGAACCAATAATCACACCTTCCCCTATGCGATTAATTAAAAACGGAAACTCGTGTCGCCACTTGACGTAAGGCGCGAGCTCTTCAGCTACACCTCCTTTATTATGCCACCTCCAATATGAAGATAGAGAAACAGAGGCACCTGAATGCTTTACATACGATGGCACGTATTCTACTCTTGGTAGAGCTCTACCTGATTCTACTACCACCGGTAGCACCCGCAGTAATGAGAAGGTTGGTACTTGACTTTCAATAGTCGGTCAACAATCTCGATACCTATATCTTATTTCAGACTATTCTCTGCGAACGAATTGCACAAGGACAATGGCAAAGGAAAATGCGCGTGCCTTTTCAAGCTAGTCAATTACACTAACGTAAGATGAAAGATGGTTGAGTTACTTTCCTTAGGAACTTTACGTGGCGTTCTTTAGATTTGATCAAACACGCATAACCGATAATAGGCGTATCAGATCTCAGACGATATGCCTTGGTAGTTATTAATCTTAGTCAGGAGCATGTGAATGCCTTCTTATCCCATTCTTCTTGGCCCTCCGAGTATATCCAAGTATATCTTCGGTGGTGGCAAAATCGGAGAAGCATGCAAGTTGGAAGTTTTCTAGTATAATACGACGCTACTTGAGCATCAAGGCAAGATTTGCGGCTTACAAAGGTCGATATCATGAAATCGTGGCGACCGTAATTTTACAGTGCCGATGCGAAGATACTGGTTACATGATTACATGAGGTTCTCCGGCCTATCTCCTATTTCAGTCCTATTTTGGAGGAGCTTATATGATTTTACTCTCCGGCACCGCGGTCCAACATAACGCTACAGCTCTCGCAAGACATAGCTACCTCGATTAAATATTGGCCTCAGGTGTATCCCCTAAGAGTTGTTCCCTAAGAGGTATTCCGAGCTTGACGGCGATCCCTACGGGAACTTACTTCCTCGCCACAATCTCGAGATCATCCATATACGCGGGCTAGTCAGCCTAGGTAGCCACCATCAAAGGGACACTTCGCCTAGTTGGCAATCACCAAGGACGAGTTTATACTCTAATTTCATGACCTGATTGTTTTTATAAGCGGCTTCCTTCGGACTGACGATCATGCTAGATGGTCGGGTTGACAGAAATATGTATCTCGGCAACTTGGACTCTTTCGGGACAAGTCTGAAGAAGGAAGACATCGATACATGAACACCAGGGCCGAAGACTCGTCGGTAAGCTTTAGGCCAATCAAGGGACTGACTTGTCGAGAAGCCGTCTAGACTGTTCCAGAACCAAGATCGCTTGGCCTTTAAAGCCTCGTGATGGCTGCTTGGGAAGTATTGTGGACCGCTACTATGCATGGAGACCGATGCCTGGCGTTGGAGATGAGAGATGCGGCCGATATCTGTCCACTGCGTATGACTTCTCGTATTCATGCGGTTGGCATCTAGACCTCATTACATGCGTGGTCGTTTTATCCCCTCTGCGTCTTATGATAGACGCATGCAAACGGTAGTTGCACGCCCTACCTCTTCTAACCAGCTCTCCGAGCAACCGAGGCTGTGTCATGTCTTAAGGGTTACGTCTCGCTATCGAAGATCCTCGGTAACAAGATATTTTCAGAAGGAAAATACTTACAGTCATTGGTACGTCAAGGCATTCGAGTATGTATGCTTTAGCCCCCAGTCGAATTATGCGCCAATTGGATCGATCGGTCTTGATTCAAGCATATGAGAATACTATCTCGTTTGGACTGCCCCTAAAATACCACTTGAATCTCGTTCCGGTATTAACCTGAAGCTTGCTTGGAGAGATTTTTAGGATCATCGAAGAAAGTATTTTCTCAACTGCTCAGCAAGGGGCGATCTTTTCTATTCCCCTTTCCCTACGTTACGTTACGTTACCTAAGTACCCCCTATCTTTTAGGTCACAAAGTAAAAGCAAGCGACTATTCGACCATTGATTCCAAATGTGTCTATTCTAGTAGCTGAGAATGGTAACTACCGAAGTCCAATGCCGGTACGAAGGGCAAGGATATCCGCACAGGATAAACCGCATCTCTGCAGGCTGTCTTGGGTGTGTGAAAAATCTCGGTGAGTTTTTTTACGCCTCTTTTCATATTGCATCCCCAGTCTTTTTACCTGCCTATCATAATGAACCGGTCAGAAGATCAGAAGATCAGAGCGCCACAGCTTGGACACGGAATACTGACTCTGCCCGTATTCATTACAAGAAAATATTCGCTTGCCTAGTTCCTCGCTTTCCCTTAACCACGGCAACTACCGTTGATACACTGCTCTGCCGTCCGCCTCGATAGGTATTCGAGATTCGGCACTCATCTCCTTGATGCCGTGCTCATTAGCTAGCTCCGACGGCGGCCAGTAGACCTGCATTGGCGGTTGGGTAAAGGGCGGTGCGCCCCATGTCGTCGAACTCCAGTTACTAGGACCTATTATACTTGCTTGGGCTCGCAGTTCTGCCGCCTCTTGCCTCCTCTTCTGCCGCCGCGACCAGAACATCCACAGTACCACCGCGCCCAGGGCTAAAACCACGAATGCAGCACCAATCCCGATACCGGCCGCGGCGCCGGCGCTAAGCTTGATGCCCCCGTTGTCATCAGGTTGCGCTTCCGCTGTCGTTGATGTCGAGGGCCAAGTTTCTGATGCGGGGGCGGGGGCCGAGTTGTCTGACAGTGATCCGGAAACTACGGTTGCTGTCTGCCCTGCCGTCGTTGTCGCGGGACTATTCTGGATCACAACGCCGTACGCCATGATGGTACCAGGAGCGAACAAACTCGTTAGCGATCCGGCTTCCTCATACCCATTCAGTGTGCCATCGATCGTCGTGAAGGCCGTCTCCGTGTTTACTCTGTATACGGACATGCAACCGAGCGTCGGTCCCCACGGGTAGCTATAGCTGCTCGACGTAGGGGCACATTCGTAATTCCCTTGCCTAGATAGGTACGTCTCATTAGATTTCTACATTCGGTATATCGCTTCCCTCGTTGTTCGGGTCCGCTCATCTCAGTATCAAGTACGGTATCCTATCCTATCCTATCCTACCAAATACTACGGATGGGTGGCTACCGTTACGGACATTTAAGAGTAAGGGAGAAAACGCGTATGCATTATTACTTACGGACAACATGTCGCCCGCGTGGCGACGATTGTATCTCCGTCGGTCGATATGGACTCGCAGGCGCGTGTATAGCCAGAAGGGCATACACCAGGGCTGTAATACTGATTTTGATAGGGAGAGTAGTCGTCAGGGAAGCATGATGATTGTCCCGGTCGGCCATGCAGCCAGTAGAAGGTTGAAGCGGTGTTGACCCAGTACAGCGCCGACGATGCGACACAGTCGGGTGGTGGCGCGAAGCTCGTTGTAAGTGGACCGAGCGACATGCTTGCGTATGGCTCTAAGCCCTCGGCCGAGTGAGTGGTCGATAGACGGATAAACGATTCGGATCCCGTGTTTACGTCCTTCTCCTATCTCTATCCCGTGTCCTTTCTTCTTCTTCTTCCAACAGACCGACTAGCAATAACAGTCTTTCACTATGCGCAATCTGCCGTGCTTGGTTGCACTCGTCTCGTCTCTTTATTATTTCCGAATTAATGAGAAAAAAGACATATCGTTTTCGTCTTTTCTATCTTTTCCACGGCGATGCTAGGTACACGCAAAGAGGAGAGAAACTAGAACCCGACCAACTAGAGAAAACGTCTCCGTCTACCTCGTCTACCTATGTACAGATTGGCAGTATGGCTAGTTTATGAAAAATTTACTGGGTGATTGACATGTTGGCACTTAGGACGCCAGAAGGATTGGAATCCCGGACTAGCCCATGATCTCATGTCGTATGGTGAGCCTTCCATCATAGGTTCTTTGTGCCGCTTCGCCTGTCGAGTATGTACCTATGTACGGATTACTGGCTTAGCAAATCAAGGGGCTCGCATGTGCCGCTGTCATTGGGAGACTCATATGTTTTTTTCCCCTGGGCCGCCACACATACATACATAGCGGCGAACCTGGTTATATTTTTGCTCCTTACCTGCAAATACATATGCATGGATAGGCAAATAGGGTAACAATAAAGCGCGTCTATGCCACCCCAGCCCTGCCACTTTTGGTAGGGATCGACGTGCCTTGGGGGCCAATTCTGATTAACAGGCGGTCACGTATCTATGTATGTACTATGTAAATGATACGGAATACGGGATACCCCGTTTAGAAGTGGGCGGCTATTAACTACCTACCTAAGGTATGTTAAAATAAGAAAATCGGAATCCTTCGTCGGCTTCTTAGCCCTACACGGACCCCAGACACGGATACATAGCGGTTAATCGACTAAAGCACCGCTCCGTAGGTCAAGCACTGCTGGATGTAGTAGCTTAAGTCCGTTGTCAGGTATTGTAGGTCCGAGGTTAAGACGTCCGGATATTATACAACTGTCTGTTTACATATGCAGGGGTAAATATCAATAGCCTTTCCGCTTTTGCGTAGTAGAGTAAGTCGTCCACTTATGTAGAAACCACACCATGTCCAAGTCTCCCGTGCCTCATCTCGTTACACGTTTTCGGTGAACCCACCTAGAGTTAATAACCTATATAAGACCTCATTCACCTGTGCTTCGCGAGGCAGGCAGTCTCATTAATTCTACCGCGAGATAAGACCTAAATGCGATCAACCTCCACTATAAGTTACACTACGAGGGGCACCATTTATGTAAAACACCAAAGTCTTTTGCACAACTCCGTCATAAATTCAATTAACTAGCTTGAATACATAGACGGATACTAGACCGATGCTATCAGGACCAAGCCATTTCTGTTAAGCTTCTAAACCGTAGGCCATCCGCTCTAATATTTATTTATCGCGGCCTCGTTCTCATCTAAGATAACTTGCCTCAGCCTTGCAACCCCTGCTTGGTTAAAAAATTGAGTATATGACACGGATCGTACACCTCCAAGAACGCTGGAACAGCAATTAGTATATCGTGCAGTCCATAATAAGATTCTGTTGTAGACTGCCGTCTCTGAATAAGGCCCCTCGTAGAGATATGCTTATTAGCCTTTAGACTGTCAATCCCAAGTTTCTTACCCTCGAGGCGTCGGCTCGAGCCTGCATCAAAAGGACTATTGGACTCTGATCATCCTAGCTCGCAGGGTATTCTCGTTTCATAAGGGTGATTATAGTCTAGTTCAGCGGCCGCCCTTCATAGCAGCTCGGCGTCTCATCTTGTCGGCCACTGCCTTCAGTGCCAACTTGACATCTTTCTGCCCGTCCCAAGACTCGATATCGTAATATACGGGGGCGAGTTCCTGCAGCCATTTAGTTAGTTATATTGCCCGGACTTCATTTAAATATACAGAATATACAGTATTGACTTACCAAGAGCCACTCCGGCTTAATTCCGGTGACGGTTCGGATATAATGTTTGGATGTCATGACAAATTCGTTGTAGAGGACCCAGTCGTATTCTGTCTGGAGCACGGTGCTCGGGTGCAGCATCACTTGTTGGCTGTTGTCTTTCAGGGTGCGGTATACCCTATCCTTCTCCTTTTTGGCCACTTGCATGAAGAAGCCAGTGACAAGTGCGCGACGAATATTAATATAGTAATTTTTATCGTTGAAGTCTGTGCTGATGAGATGCAAGCCCTGCGTTTCCATAATGCGCTTGAGTTGAGCACGGACGTTATCCGCGCTAGAAAGATGACGGAACGACAGATAATGCTTATGGCACCATGTCCTCGCATCTTCGTTGCGGTTCAAGACCCCCTTAAAAGCGTGGTACACATTTAGCATAGTTAAATGATCACCGTCGTTGTGCTTGAACAAATTCTTCATTTCATCAGCTTCTCGCCTCTTTTGAGCTGGGCGCACGAAGATCTGAGGCACCGAGAGGAGTGCAGTGATCGAGAGCATTTCATTCGAACAGTAGAATTCAGGGCTCGAAATGAGCATGACGGCCAAGCTGGGATCTAAGGGAAACTCGGATGCTAAACCGCCAAGAGCTGTCAGTTCCCCCTCGTCGTCGAGGCACCTAAGATAGTTAAGTTCCTCGAGAGCCCGCATCATGGTCTCGGGAGCAGGAGGGTCCATGAGATCGAAATGAACCAGATCTACAACACCAAGCTTCTTGAGCTCGAGCACGGTGTTCGCAAGGTTAGATCGAAGAATTTCTGGATATGTCTGCTCGATCAGCTCATCTTTGAACGCCTTTTCCGTATAGAGCCGGAAACACTTTCCAGGCTTTGTTCGACCAGCACGACCAGCTCGCTGCTGAGCAGAAGCCTTGGAAATGGGAGACACCAAAAGCGACTCCACTCGTAATCGAGGATTATAGATCTTCTGTTTACTGAAACCGGGGTCGACAACATAGACGATACCGTCGATTGTCAAACTTGTCTCAGCAATATTTGTTGATACGATGCACTTGCGACCAGGCCTACCACCTTTCTTGAGCGGAGGGGGTGCTGGGTCGAAGATTTTCTGCTGCTGGTGTGGAGGGAGGGTACCATAAAGGGGATAGACCGCCATCGGTCCGCAATCAGTTTCCCTGACAAGCTCGTCGACTTCGAGGGAGATCTTCCTGCATGTATCCTCGATCTCTTCCTCGCCAGTAAGAAAGAGGAGAATGTCCCCTTCGCCCTCACCAGCATGAATTTGAAGCACAGTACGTATCGCACCCTCCACGTAATCCTTCTCGGGCTCGGGTGTGTAGAAAATCTCGACGGGGAATGTTCGACCTGGGACAGCGAGCAAGGGCGCATCGAAGAAATATCGTTGGAACTTCTGCGCATCTAGCGTAGCAGACATGACAATAAGCTTGAGGTCGGCCCTGCGCCTGGTGATTTGCTTCAGAAGTGCCATAAGTATGTCGGTAGCGAGGGTACGCTCGTGCGCTTCGTCCAAAATAATACAGCTATATCGCGACATGTCGTGGTCGTGCATCGCCTCCCTCAACAGCATACCATCGGTCATGTACTTGAGCATCGTCTTGGAACTCGTCTTGTCTTCGAAACGGATACTATAACCGACCTCCTCTCCTAGGGTAACGTCAAGCTCGTCGGCAACACGCTGGGCAACGGACATGGCGGCGACTCGTCGGGGTTGCGTACAGGCAACTAGCTTTCGACTAAGATGTGGTAGTTCGTCATAGACGACATATTGAGGAATTTGCGTCGTTTTACCAGAACCGGTCTCACCGACGAACACCAGGATTTGCGATTTGTGATATAGATCGAGAAACTCTTGTCTACAGTAGGCGCATTAGTATATGATCGTAAAAAGGTAAATAATGTAAGGATGTAAAGGATCAGAACAAACTAATGAAAGAAAGCTTACCTTTGCTTATGAACAGGGAGGTTGCGCCTCGACTTCAATATGTTAAAATACTGCTGTGAGTGCGGTTCCCCGGTAAAAGGATTATTGTCGCTATCCTCAGCTTCGGATGCTTGTTTGGCTGTGGTCTTTCGTCGTTCGAAATGCGCCAGAGGAGAACCTTTTGGCAGTCTATCGCTAAACCCGAAGCCGTTTCCGTTGTATTTGCTATCCGAGTCACCATTACCATTACTCCAATGTGCAAGGTATTTGTTGTATTCGGCCGGTTTCGAATCGCCGCCCTCTTCCGTTTTAACGCGCTTCATAGGCGTCTCAACATCTGGACTGCTCAGGCGCTTCTTATCATTCTGCGAACCTTTGCCATTTGATTTATCAGCCATCGCTACTAGTGTTTCTGCTGATGAACCCAAGGATATGTCGTTGTATGTCCGAGAGATTGGATGCTGTCGCAATGGATGGCTGTTAGGACAAGGCTGAAGAAAAAAAAGGCAAAAAGGCAGAAAGTTAGAGGTCAATGATTTATTTTTTATTTCTTTGGTTAAAACGTTCCATGCCCCACTTCTCCATGCCTCTTGCCTGCTTGCCCCAAAATGATACCGGCTAACCGTGCATTCATTCATTTAAACAAGATTTTATACTTTATATGTGCATATATGAATGCATGGAAATAGATAATTCAAGTATGACGGTGGTATTTGAGGATAGTACTTTAAATAAATTAAGGCAATAAGTACCTAGGTACCTAGGTAACAACATGAACAATTGCAATTCATAATGTATTACACATACACTGGGTTGTACAGCCAGAAGTCATCGCAATCGAATCTCTCAAGGAAAGAGTCCTAAAGATCTCAAGAAGTGACTCGTCGCCTAGCCATAGTATACATCCGTCCAACTCCTTGGATCCCCCCGCCTAACCACATATAAATCTCCTTCGTATACACGAACGGAGGGGTACGAAATCAAAACATTCCCTTTTCATGAGCCCTATGCCCGAGAAATAAACAAGCCTATGTAGGCGCTAAGTCTAACTGTGAGACGATCATCTGCCGGAGGCTGAGCAAGATGTCGTTTAATCAACGCCAAACTCCACAGAACGGCACATGCCATCCCCGGGACCATTATTTCATGGTTTCGTTATGCTCGTGTCCTGTTCGCCACATTCCATATGCTACTTTCTCGGAACGGTAATTTCAATATTCTCATTTGCGGTATTGCAGTGCGTGCTACTGATCCGCCGGGCATCTCTGATAATGCTCTCAATCAATTCCATGGAATCATCTGGTACTTCCGGAAGGTCACTCGTGTCCACTGCTATCGAAGGTACAGGTGCCGAGGCTATGGGGGTCGTGGTATATCTTCCTGGTGATGATACTGACTCTGTTGCGCTTGGCTGTTGTATAGCTGTGGTGGTTGATAACCGTTGTATGTCTGGTCGTACGTCACGTACGGAAACTGCCCGTGACTCGTCTGGCTGAGGCTGCTGCTGTTAGGCACTGTCTGCGGGAACTTCTGCCAAAAAGGTCCGCTTACATTGCTGGGCTGGGGCCCTGGACTTTCTATGTGCCTCGGATTTCCGGATCCGTTGTACATAAACGGGCCCGGCGCATTTGGGGTAATAGTCGGGGTGGCTATGGTTGGTGTCACAGAACGAGATGGGTGTTCCGTTGGGAAATATTGAGGCTGAACCGGAACCTGTGACTTACGTAGCGTTTCCCACGGCCGAGGAGGTGGTATATAAGTCTGCCTAGGTGGTAGACTTGGTGTTCTTGCTAAAGCATTTGAGTTTGTTGACGAGGGCTGCTTCTGGCCCATAGTGGCCATATTCGATGGTGGGGGGGTATCTACCTTGGACTGTGATGAGTTGGGGCTTGGAGCTGAGATGATCATTGGCGACGGGACCGAAGTGACCTGAGAAGACAACAGTGGCGTTGATGGCGATTGCTGATTTAGCATAGCTTGGTGTGCTTGAACGGTAGTTTGCTCGTTGCGGGCCTCGAAGTTTCTCGTCTGTAACAATGCGGCATATTGGGCTCGGATTGCTGGGTGTAGTTGTGTTATAGGTCCTTCATTTAAATACGAGGAATCTACGACACGTGCCGGTGTTTGCTGGACTTCTAGCCGTCCGGTTGATGCTATGTGTGTCGTCGGCAGCGTCACTTTCTGTGTTGCAAGTGGAGTAGGAGAATCAGATGTTGGTAGACCAGCTGATGGACGAGCTGAGCCAGAATTACCCGCGTATGGCGCTGGGCTAGGAGTACCATTGTTCGGGATACCATTACTAAAAGAAATCTGGCGAGTAGGAGGTGGGCCAGGAGTACCGCTGCTGAAGCCAGATGATCGCCTTCTAATCTCAAAAAGCGCTTCAGGCGATCTCATCAGATGAGCTCGAAGGTTACCCTCGTAACCGTTGGTAAAACCACCCCAATTGGCGTAAGGTGTCCTATACTTGGTAGAATCTCTAAATGATTATTAGCACAGAACTGAATCGCGAGAAACTTGGCTGCTATACCTATTGTGATGAACCTGGAAAAAGGCATATCTCTGAACGATGCTTGGTCGCGCTTGCTTAGGGGCATTGTATTGCGGAGGAATCTTGGCTTCTCCCATAGTCCCTTGAGCGGATGCAGAAGATGGTCGAATGGCAGACGAAGTCATCGGCGTGTCGAATGAACGGTTAGATGCCAGCGATCCAGACCTAGCTCTAGCTTGGGCCTGGAATAGTTGGCCGTTTTGCGGTGACGGCGAGGGCCCAAGGCCAGGAGGTTGACTAAATCCATGGCTAAAGGGTGATTTGGAGGTAGAATCAATTCGGCCACCCCCGTACGAGAATGGCGGTGTCCTAAATCGATGATCTGAACCAAACGCCAAAGACTGACCATTGAGTGAAGACCGGCTCCGAGTGTGTCCGCCCTGCGGAGGTGTTGGTCGAGGTACGGGAGCTGGCCGCGATATAACGTGTTGGGCGGGGGGTTGTCTGCTATGTTGTGGTGTAGAAACTAGCTTTTGTGTAGTTTGCTGAGGAATAAATTGTCTGCTTTGCTGATCCGTAGAAGTTTGTTGACGAATAGATTGTTGTGGAGGGTAATGGTTGATGAACTGGGGGGTGTAGACCGGCTTCTGGATATTCTGCTGTGGTGTATACGGCCCCTTTTGTTGCATAATAGGTGGCGTAGGCGCTGGTTTTGGTATAGACTGCTGCGGAGTACGCTGTAAGGTCTGCTCAGGGGCAGGAACCAGCCTCGGCGCTGTGCCTTGTGGAGGATAGAATGGTGGCCTTGGGATGTATTGCTGTGCCGTGAAGGGAGGAGGCTTCGGAACGAACTGTTGGGTCGTAAAGGAAGAATGGACGTAGGAAGGAATAACAGGATCCCTTGGCTTGTACTGGTATGGCTTATCAGGTTTCGCTCCTGTTGTGGTCGGAGTCTGTACTGAAAACGTGGATCCATATGACTTTCGGGGTTGAGCTGTAGGTGGAGCTGGTCGAGGAACAGTTTCTAAGAAGTTACTCTTAGGGTTGTGTCTAGGCTTCTTCGGATCCTCTGTGTACTGAGCACGCGCTTCCGTCGATGTTCTACCAAGGTAATACCAGATCTGGTTATCCTTGGACAGATCCACTTTAGCTTGAAACTTGTTCGAGCAATCACACGAGTTGAATTCGGCCCAGGTGAACCCTTCGACGAACGGTGCATCTGCGCGTGGAAGCTCCTCCGTGACCCGCTTTGTGGCATTGATCTGATCCTTGGCCTTACGTGACGTTGGCATGGGAATAGCATTCGCAGACGCTTTCGGTAAATGGAAGTCGGCTGGATCTGGGAGGAGAAGCCATTTCCATTCAACTTCAACACGTTCCCTAGAAAAAGTTAGCGATAGGCTTTTGCTAATGTGGCTATATGTTTCGCACCCGTTTGGAATAATGTCGACAAGGAGCGTCTGTTCGTCAGCCCGGTTCTCAACGACAACACCTGCGAAGATATCCCCGCGGTAATACTGCAATTGGCATATGTCCCCCTTTTTGAGAGTAGTCGCTGCTTGGCGGGTCTTCTGACATTCTTCCAATCCATCACCATCCAACTTCTTATCTCTCTTAGTCCTGTGGAAACGGCAGCTGAACTCGAAAGTTTGTTCCTTGTATTCGGTTCCATCCTCGCCGAATATGGGAACGTCTGCCTCTTCTACCAGGACTCCAGCCGCTGCGGCACAAGTCGCATGGTAGGAGCGAGCGCATTTCTTCTGGGAACACTGGAAACAAGCACCCCTCTTAGAGCGGCAATACAAGCACTTTAGTTCTAGGCGAGCTTTGCTGACGTTTTCAATATTGGCGACGACTTCTTTCCCTTCAACTGTTTCAACCCAGGTTTCGGGTCCGTAGAGTGCGCAGATTCTATGGGCTCTGCGACCATCGCTTGTCGGTAAAACCTCCTGTCCTGGTATGTCGTGGGGACACAGACAACACGGCGGTTCAACGTGGTTCTTGACACGGAGTCGTATCTTCTTGGCCTTCTGCCTCTCTCCTTTATCTGCCGCTGGACGCTTACGTTTACGCCCAGGCTGCTTGAATCTCACAGCATTAGACGAAGGCGGTGTCGGTACACCATTATCGAGGTCATCATCATCTTCGTCCTCATCCTCATCCTCTTCATCCTCAGTTTCTTCATAGTCTGTCTCCTCTCCTCTCAACTTACGCTCGATCTCATACACGTCGACCCAAACGCTATCTTGCGCTTGAGCACATTCACATCTCTTGGCGATCTTTCCCATCGGCAACCAGGAATCCAAGGCAAAGTTTACAGCCTCGGCACAGTTATAGCCCAGATTATATCCCGAATGGTAGCCATACGGATAAGTGACAACGAATTCTCCAGGGTAGGAGACGCACTTATTGACTTTGATATTGTAGAAATTCGCCAAATGGTTTGGCGATATTAGAAAAGCCTTGTGTCGTAGAAATTGGTCGCAAGCCTTCGCGTCTGTTGGCCAGATGCTCTTCATCGCAGCTTCGAACCGGCGCGCATCGCCCTGAGAAATACTGTACCACTGCTTCGGAGCACCAAAGTGTAGGTAGTTAATACTGTATAGATCGACATCTTCAAGATGCCATGCGAAAGTCGCCTTCCACATACCAAGGTAAAGATATGCCGTGTTAACGCCGGGCACCTTGGTACCCAAGACGTCAAGGAGGTTCGGGAGCTTGTTGAGATTCCAAGTATCGCATTCGTCGTCAAACAGCGTTCCGGGAAGATCAGCACCGTACAGTGGCTGCGCATAAGTAAGAGTTTTCCAGTATATGCGCTCGAGCTCCTCACACCTATCGGGTGTGTAGTCGGAGATGTCCATACGGTAATCGAAGTCCTTGAAGGCTTCCTCATCGATCCTAGCTGATGCTTCTCGCCTCGAGTACTTCCTCCGAGCTGATGTAGATTGTAACTTAGGTTTGGCCTGCCTAGCGCCACCCATCCGACCAACAACCGGGGGGCCGTCGTCATCATCATCTACCTCAGCACCCGGGTCCTGCTCTACGGACTCAACAATCTCTTCGTTCGGTTTTGGCGAGACAGGTGTCATCGGT